AATGCTCTCGTGTCCCTCATGCTGAAATCCCAGCTGATGCTGTAAGTGCTTCCTGCCTAGGCTCTTACTAATCCTCCTCCTACCCTCTCCACAGCCAAACTGATCAGTCTGCAGGACAGCAGCTACTCTGCTAAGAGAAGAGCCATTGCTCTCGTCTCCTGGTATCACCACTAACACCTTCTGTCGTGGCACCTCACTTTGAAGGGAAACAGAGCAAAGCCACGCCACGGTGCCAGATGTCACAGCCCACCCAGACACCCTTTCTCCCAGGCTGGGGGCCCAGGAGCCCCTGCCTTCCCACCCGTGCTGCTCCCAGAGCCCACTCACTTCCTCCAGACCTCAGCAGCCCTTTGGATGTCAGCTCCCTTCACAGCAGAGGTTCGTGGGAATGCATCTTCTCAGAAATGCTGCTGTCTATGTTTGGTTTCCAAAGGAAACCACGCAGCACACGTTCAATCACAGAACTCGGTAGAGTTGGGCAAATAAACTTCTTCTTCTTTTTTTTTTCCCTTTATCTTAAGAAATGAGAACGTTCAAGACAGGCAAAAACTACAAAGTCATGTTTCAAACTTCCTTTTTCCAAAACCAAATTGCTACGAGAGGCAACGTGAGCTACACTGATATTTCTTCCCTCTTTTTATTCTTCACACAGAGGAAATAACCACAAAAACCTCTTTGCCCTGCAGAATGATTGTCCCAGATCTCTCACAACACAGGAGAGGCAGGGCCGTGCTTCTCATGAGCTGAACAGAAGAATTATCTTAACCAAAAACACTGCACCTCCTCCCAAAATTTAAACCCGAGCATTCAGGCACTTAAAAAATTCCTTTAAGGATTGATAAAGCACAGCGAGGCCATCTGATATCAGAGACCAAGAGGCAAGAAGCAAAGCCCCTGCCTACGGCCATGCTGCTTTGGTTCTCTATGAATTCACACAGCCAAAGGCCGAGGTCTTCTCCACACACAAACAGGAGGGGAAAAGCTGCATGACAGGCAACCCCTTAAGGTCACCTGCCACTCTACAATCACATTAATTCAGGAATTTTTAATTAGCAGTTTCCGGCAACACCTCATTTCTGCCTCGTATCTCACCTCACAGCACTCACATCCCAGCCCAAGAAGCTGGAGGTGTGGATGCACTGAAGCAGGTGACTTGTTTCTCCCCTCCCATCCGAGCTCAGACATCAGACAAAGGTTTATTATCCTTCATCACAGACTGAGGATGACGAGCTGGGATACAGCTGCCACAGCAGCACTGCCTGCACACCTCCAGTAACGCCACTGACCTGCAGCTCCTCGTATCCCAGCAGGGATGGAAGCACCAACCTTCTGCCTGCAGCAGCCTGTGGTACACACAGCACCCATGGGTGCAACACCTGGGGCTGCAGGGCCAGCTAGCAGCCAGCTTCCAAACCAGTCCAGAGCAGCACGTTGGGTCTGAGCCACTCAGACCACAGGTGAATTACTTCTCAGCACTATTAGCTTCAGGCAAGCTTTCTCAGTTATGAAGTCCTGACAATAAAACTGTGTGTTCATGGCAAACACAAGTTTAACACGCTGCATCTACTCTTTCCATAGAAAGAGCACAACAACAGATGAGGCATTTCAGCCTATCGTCTACACGGAGCATCAGGATCAGCATCCTTGAAGCCCAGAGCAGAGCACCATTTAAATTCATTAGAAGTCCATAAACGGAGTACGGGCTTCAAAGAATTGAAACTATAACAGAGCACTGTGTCAACTCATTAAAAGCCTATAAACAAAGCACGTTGTCACTGCGCTGTCACAACTGCACTGTGTAGCACTTGAGATTCTGCACAGGGAGCAGCTGCTTTGGAGGGACCCCAGTGATGCCCTCAATGCCTTCAGCCATGGCTGCAGCTGTGCACGAGGAGCAGGGCATCCCCATCATTCCGTTTCATCATTGTGGTTGGTGACCCAGCACACAGCAGGGGGATTGAAACTCCATGATCACTGTGGTCTTTTTCACCCATTATATGATTCTACGATTCCGAATGCAGTGCAGACAGCATGGCTGTACGGTCACCTCCGTGCAGGACAGCACAAGCATCCTCCAAGCTGGGCAGCAGCACTGTTGTATCCTCTATTTAACAGGCCAGAGAGGTTGTGGATGCCCCATCCATCCCTGGAGGTGTTCAAGGCCAGGTTGGATGGGGCCCTGGGCAGCCTGGGCTGGTATTAAATGGGGAGGCTGCACGTGGCAGGGGGTTGGAGATTCACGATCCTTGAGGTTCCTTCCAACCCTTGTCCATCCTGTGATTGTCTGCTCACCAAATGCTTCTGGGAGGGCTGTGACCACGCTGCCCATCCAGACCCACGATTCCCCACGGACCAGCAGTCACCTGCAGCCGGAGCACAAACACGCATCCCGCCCAGCATCCCTCCGAGGCTTCACAAGGTGATGACGAGCAGCCCCACCAGCTCAGAGCCCCACGCTCCGGCCTTCCCCACGACAAAAAGTCCCATCGCGCGACCCAACAGCCGTCACCCCGGGGTCGGGCAGGGAGAGAAACAAAATCCCCGCGTCTCCCGGGCCGCAGAGGCCGCTTCGTTTCGCTCCACCCCTGGGTCGCGTTCCGCACTCACCCGCGGGGCCCGGCAGCGCGGGCGCGGCCAGCAGCAGCAGGAGGAGGAGGAGGAGAAGGCAGGGGCAGCTCCGTGCCACCCAAGCCATCGTGCACCGCGTCGGCCGTGCGGATCTCGGAGCGGGCAGAGCGCCGCGCTTATGCAGCCGGGCCGCAGCCTGCGCTGCGCCGCCCCCCGGGCGGGGCTGCTCCGCCCGCCGCTGGCAGCACGGAGGACACGGGGCGGACCCCGAGGGCAGCGGCCGCTTGTCGGGGCTGTTGTTGCCTCGCACTGCGAGCCCCCGGCTGAGGGTTCAGAGCTGAGGTCGGAGCTCTGACTTGCGGGGAATCCGGTGCTCAAAGGCTGCGGGATGCGCGGCGTGGGGAGGTGTACAAAAATACAGCCGGATCACAGAAACACCGAGGTTGGAAAAGACCTCCAAGATCATCCAGTCCCACCATCACCAACAGCACTCACTAAACCACGTCCCTCAACGCAAAATCCAAACGTTCCTTCAATACCTCCAGGCTCGGTGACTCCGCCACCTCCCTGGGCAGCTCACTGCAGTGCCTGACCGCTCTTTTGGAGCAGTAATATTTCCTAACCAGCCTAAATCTCCCCTGGTGCAGCTTGAAGCCATTCCCTCCAGTTACACGAGAAGAGGCCGACCCCCAGCTCGCTACAACCTCCCTTCACGTAGCTATAGAGAGCAGTGAGGTCTCCCCTGAGCCTCCTCCAGCCTGAACAACCCCAGCTCCTTCAGCCTCTCCTCATCAGCCCTGTGCTCCAGACCCCTCACAGCTTTGTCCCCCTTCTTTGAACCCGCTCCAGGGCCTCCATGTCTTTCTTGCACTGAGGGGCCAGATGGAGAGCTCAGGGCCTTTGACACAGGATTCCTCCAGGCACCTGAGGACACAGACAGCTGGGCCCAAAAAACAGTTTATGTATGATATGGCTGGGTAGCAAGCTTGCAGATGTCAGTGTTCTACATTTAGCTCAGCTGTGTTTTGGAGAGGTGTTTAATGCATGGCTGTGCTCTCAGAGGCAGTCACGGATGTGTCACAGAAGGCAGTAAACTCCAATGGTGTTTCATGCTGGAGTTTATTCCCCTTATTCACCTGTATCAAGTGGGATCAGAGCGGAATGCTAATATGAAGCTTTATCTCCATGTGCTTCACATTGTAATGCAGGTAAAGCCCTCAGCTGGCTGCTTGATGGCAGCAATGTGTCTGAGAGCTGCCCCCACAAGCTGACAGCAGCAACAGCTTTGGACTCAATGTGGGCACTGGCTGAAGCACAGCCTTAAGAAGCTGTGCAAATCTGGCACAGAAAGTGCTTAGAAATGCTCACACAGCCAGGCTGCAGGGCAGGAGTGTGGTGGCATTGATGAGAGCTGCACTGTGCCACCCACAGCAGCACTGCTGGAATGAAAGCCCAGCACCAAAGCCCTGCAGCACGGGGCTGAGCTGAGCTGACCTCAGCCACATGGAGCAGCACCGTGGCTCTGGAAGGGTTCTGCTGATTGAGGAGGAACATCTGTCCACCTCCTCCTGTGGCAAGGACTGCTGGAATCCAGCTTAAGAGTTTGGCCCTCCGTTTCTTAGAGAAAAACCAATCACCTGCATTACAGTGTGAAACACATGGAGATAAAGCTTCACATTAGCATTCTGCTCTGACCCCACATGACACAGGTGAATAAGGGGAATAAACTCCAGAATGAAACACCGTCGGAGTTTACTGCCTTCCGCTCAGAGCATCACATCTGTGACTGCCTCTGACAGCACAGCCACGCATTAAACACCTCTCCAAAACACAGCGCAGTGCCTTCCTCTGAGAGCAGGTGGCAATAAACAACATGTGATAAATTACTCACGTCACTGAGCAGGTTGTGGAGAAGCTGCAGTACAGCAGACAGAGCATGCTGTAGTACAAACAGTGTCTGCCTGCACACACCCACACTCTCATGGGTCTGGCTGATAGCTGTTTTAAAAATGGCTTTTGAATGCATGTGAATAAACAGCTGACCAACTGGAGCAAGCTTTCTCTTTTGGCCTAATGCTGAGCTCTTGGAAGGTACAGGAGGGTTATACTGCTGTTGTTGCAGTGAATGGTTAAGGAGCAAGGCTGCTTGGCCCTTCACAGCCCAGAAATCTACAGCCATTTTTTTCCAGAGCTGTGAGGAAGACAACCTCTGACTCAGGTTTCTTTCCCTGGAGCCTCTAGCAGGCAGATAACCTCCTGTTCCTGTGGGAGGGAGGAAACAACTCCGCTTCCTGAAGCCAGTTTTACTTACTCTGATGGACCACAGCACAAAGTGAGACAGAAAGCCAGCGCAATAAGTAACATAATTCTGCAAGGTAAGGCAGAAAATTTTATTCCAGCCTGATGTTAGGAAAAAAAAACACCATGTGGGATACAGGATGTACACCTTCAACCCCCATAGAAGTTGTGCATGACTTCTGAGTCAGGTAATATCCAGTGCTGCTCATAAGCCAGGCTTATACCTTACCTGAGGTACATAAGGCTTCCCAGGGATTATGATCTTATCATGGATCACAGTTATCACTGTGCACTGTACAAATAACACACAAATGTGAATCATCCCATGAAAAAGTGGTTCCTGCCTAAGGGGCATGAGATTCCCAGCTTTGCATTTAGCAAGAGCTGTGCACATCTCCTTTGCACTTCTCCTGTTGTTCACCATTGCTGTTCCAGCCCTGCAACAAAGAAATACACCTCAAAGCTTCAAACTGCAGAAGCAAACCAGAAAGAAGGCAGGAAGGATTTTAACCACATCTTTTGGGCCAAATGTGAATTTGCCAGCTCTGGAATTGATCTTGACTATATGGATACCTGTGGGACCATTGAGCCTTTGGGTGCTGGACAACAGACATTGTAAAATTACAGTTTGGTGAGTCCTGTGCTTAAGCAGAGAGCAAGAGGATGGGAGAAGACACAGAACTAATTCCTCAAAGGCCATTGGTCAGTTATTTCCACTTTGCAAGAAAAGAAACCCCCCAGAAACCCCCATGATAGGACTGGGCATTGCAGTCCCTCTCTCATTGAATGACAAACATTTATCTTTGTCAGACTGAAGGCCTACAAGGACTCCAACTAAACCAGCTAAATTTATAACAGTGTTTTTAAATAGCAAAGGCAGACGTGTCATGTTCTCTCTACAACCTCAGTCCTGCTGCTTCCACATCCTCTCCACACGCCATGTGCATGGCATTTGTTTATAAACACTGCAAAGAAAACAGATTAAAGACTCTGGATGCAGTCAGGACTTCCCTGACATCACTAGCAACAATCCAGCTGGCTTAGGAAGCGCCCTCCTTAACACTAGCTGAGTGATCCCATCTACAAACATTGGTAATGGCTCTGTTTCCCAAATACATTCTTATCAAATTATATCCTTTGCCCAGCCTCCAACTGGAGGTAATGAATGCCACGTACCTGCCTCAAAGCGTGCTTGGCATTTCCAATCTAAGGACCTCAAATCACTGGGGAGATCAAATTTGGTATTCCTCTGGAGAAGGATACTGAGGGAGAAAGACAGCAGCAGATTTAGAGGGTGAAGAGCAGGATCTTAATCTCCAACCCTCTGCCTTTATACTGCTGAGCACTCTTCAGTTAATCCCCAAGTTTCATTCAAAAAGCCCTTAAAGAGCGACCTCTACAGCTCTGAGCATAATAGAGAAGGGCCAGAGGGGTCTCCCAACATCAACCTCTCTGTACAAGGGGCACTGGGAGCTGAGATACACAGATTCTGCCAGCTGACTGCCTCGGATGCTTGCCTACTAATGAGAAGCACACTGAAAGCGCTGGGTCCCCATTTATCTTCAAGACATTTCCAAAGTCACACCCCAGTGAGTTCACAGCTGCGTTATGCAACCTTTAACATATTGATAGAGCCACTTGGAAGCCTCTGTTATGGCTGAGACAGAGTTATTTTTCTTCCGGTAGCTCCTGCAGCACCATGTTTTAGATAGAAATATAGAATCAATTGAGTTGGAAGGGACCCTTAAAGGCCATCTGGTCCAACCCCCCTGCAATAGCAGGGATACCCACAGCTCCATCAGATGCTCAGAGCCCCATCCAGGCTGAACTCAGGTGCCTGCAGGGACAGAACAACCACCACCTCTCTGGGCAACCTGTGCCAGCGCTGCGCTACCCTTACCATAAAATAATGTTTTCCTTATATCCAGTCCATATCTCCCTTCTTTTAGTATGAAACCATTTCCCTTGTCCTGTCAAAACAGCCCCTATGAAAAAGTCTGCCCCCTTCTTTCTTACAGCCCCCTGTTAGTTACTGAAAGGTCGCTCTCAGGTCTCTTCGGACCTTTCTCTACTCCAGGTTGCAGAGCCACAGCTCACTCATCCTGTCCTCCAAGGGAGGTGTTCCATCCCTCGAAGCATTTTTGTTAACCTCTTCTGGATGTGCTCCAACAGGTCAGTGTTTCTCCTTCACAAAAATCCCAGCTGAGGGAACTGCAGTTGCCCCTGTGTCTATTTAGTGCCTGAGGTTCACGACCCTTGTGGGACCCAGCAGGATGGCCACTGCCATGCTTTATATTGTGAGCCAGGTGGGACAATTCTGTGACCACATCTGCTGCTGCTAAGCTCAGAGCATCATGCAAGTGGGGTGGGCTGTGCAGTAGCAGTGGAAGGGAGGATACTGCAGTTCCCCAACCTCCTTCATGCTCTGAAATTTGGAACGTAATTAAGTGTATTTAATTCTGACTTTTATTAACTGCATGTAGAAACCAGAAAGAAATCCACCCCAAAACAAATAGATAGGAACAATAACATTAGTAACACATTGGTATTTTAGCTGCTGCAGAGCAGGGCTTATGCTAATTAAGGGTATTTCAGCCACTTGTACTGCTCTGCCAGTGAGGGAGTGGGGGTATGCAAGGAGCTGGGAGGGGGCAGAACTGGGACAGCTGGCCCACATTGGTTAAAGTGGCTTCCCATGCTACACAGCATTGTGATGAACAATGAAAACAGTGCTTAGCCAGAGCGGTTTGACACAGCACCAGGGGAAAGCACCAACCACCAGCCTACCTGCAGCAAGCTGACAGCAAGCCTGGGCAGGCAGGGGTTCTAACAAGCTCTGCACGGGTCCTGTTTTTCCACACAAGCAGCCACAGCACATACCTTGAGGAAAGCTCCTACCACAGCACACAGAACGGCCAGGGACCTCAAGGATCACAAATCCCCAACCCTCTGCCACACGCAGGGCCACCAACCTTCACATTCAACACCAGCCCAGGCTGCCCAGGGCCCATCCAACCTGGCCTTGAACACCTCCAGGGATGGACGGGGCATCACAGCCTCTCTGGGCAGCTGTTCCAGCACCTCACTGCTCTCCCTCTAAAGAAGCACCACACACCTAGAGGAAACGCGCCCACAAACCGAGAAGGCCGGGATCGCACGCCCTGCAGACCAAAGCGCCGCAGACGAAGCCCCACCACACCCTCACACAGCCGCGGCCGCTTTAAAAGAAGCGGGCTCCTCCCTCGTCCCTCGTTCTTTTCCGATTGGCTACCGCGACGCCGGAAGCGCTCAATCGCTTCCGGTCCTATGTGTACTTCCGCATTTCTTCGCCTTCTTTCCTGCTTAGCTCTGATTGGTTGCTGACGACGGTCTCCCGCCTCCCGAGCTAAGAATGAGTTCTCCTATTGGTTGCCGGCAGAGCGACGGAAACGGCGGGCACGGCAGGGCTGGGTAGGCGGGAGCGGCGTTTCCTAGCAGCGGGCGCCGCCATGGCGCCGCGGCGCGGCGGGCCGCTGGGCTACGCGCTGCTGTGCGGACAGGCGGTGCTGCTGCTCGGCAACCTGCTGTTGCTGCACGGCGCCTCGCGCGGCCTCCCGCACAACGGCAGCGAGCCGGAGCCGCCTGGCCCAGAGCCGCCTGCCGCCACCTGGGCCTACAGCGACCCGCAGGCGCCTCTCGTCCTCTGCACGTACCTGTGAGCACCGGGCCGGGCCTCGCGCGGAAAGAGGGCCCCGCGGCGCGGCCTTCACCGCTTCCTCCTCCCCCGCAGCCCCGAGGAGTTCGTGGAGTGCGACGAGCCCGTGGACCACGGCGGGAACGCGACAGCGCAGCAGGAGCTGGGCCACGGCTGCGTAAAGGTGAGGGCCGGGCCGGGGGCGGCGGGGGCCGGCTGAGGGCTGAGCTCAGCGCCCCCCCCCCCTCCGCTCCCCGCCCAGTTCGGCGGACAGGCACACGGCGATGTGGATCACACGCGAGTGCAGTGCCGGGCCCTGGACGGCATCGAGTGCGCCGAGCCGCGGAGCTTCCTGCGGGGCAGCCGGCCCTGCGTCAGGTAGGGGCTCTCTGGAGTGAGCCACAGCCGGAACTGGGCTCAGGGAGCCCCGGGGTGGAGGGCAGAGGTTGTCTGCCCACCCCTCCGACCCACTTCCGGCCACCCGTTGCAGGTACACCGGCCATTACTTCATCACTACTTTGCTCTACTCGTTTTTCCTGGGCTGCTTTGGTGTGGATCGCTTCTGCCTCGGCCACACGGGCACCGCTGTGGGGAAGCTGCTGACTCTGGGAGGTCTCGGGATCTGGTGGTTTGTGGATCTGATCCTCCTCATCACTGGGGGGCTGATGCCCAGCGATGGCAGCAATTGGTGCACTGTGTACTGAGCAGAACCAGAGCGGATCCCTGGAGCTCACTGGAGATGGACTCCTCCTCTTGCTTCAAAGCATCAGAACAAACTCCACTTGAGGACTTCTGCCTTGCACAGATATGGATTTACAAAGCTATAACTTAATCTGCAGAACAGTTGTTCTTGTTAATTCCTCTGTACATACATTGGACACAAAATTGGGTATATATTTTGCTCGTTTAAAACAATCTGAGCTTTTTTCTTCTCAAATGATAAGTTTGACAACTCAGACTTTGCAAACACAAGTGGTCAAATTAATAAAGTCTGGAAAGAGCTGACTCCACTTATTTTTGATGTTAGTACGCTACAGACAGAGATGCAGGCCTCCAGCCTGTGGTTTTGTGTGGTGGTTTAGCAGACATTTAAAGCTGAAACCTAACAGTGTTATAGAGGGGAAGTGACAAGCTCAAATTCTAATTGTTTGCTTATGCCCACACGCATTTGCTGCACGTTGAAGCTGAGTAAGATCTAGCAGAGAGACTGGAACCTTCTGAAGAATGTCACTTTCCTCTCTTTCAGGCTGGAAAAGCCACAGTACAGCAAAAATAGATTCGGGATGTAAAAGTAATACTGTCCACATACTATGAGAGAAATGGGTTTGGGAAATAAAAGAACCTGAGGGCTTCAGGCATGGCACAGAGTTCATGCAGTACTGGAACAAGCAGAGGCCTCAAGCAACTGCACACACACACAAAAGAGGAAGCTCTGCCAGCTGCAGTTTGAGAACTTCCCAAGTTGAATAAAAACGGGAAAGGGAAGCTACAGCAAGACACAGACAGCCAGAACCAGACACAAAAATCCATACATGCAAAAGCCCAATAAGATTTGACAGCAGATGCAGCAGATGTATACTTTCCATTCCCATGGAGTTCTGCAAACTGAGCACCCTCCACCTGCTTGCATTTAGCTGCCTTCTGCTGGTGTTACTTCTGTCCTGTGGAACTGCAAAAGGTTTCAGCCTGGCAGGGAATTAATTGCGCCCGTTCCAGTTTTGCTTTGTGGTTTGTTGCAACAACTCCTCCTCTCTGGGGAATAGGATTTATATCCCATTTAGGTCACAAGTAATCTGAGTTTGGCAGCTTTGAACGGGTCTCAGGGCTGTGGGGTGAGGTGGGGAGGGGGGGGAGCCTTCATTATAAATCTACCACATTCTTCAGCCCAGTGGAACAACAGGGCTGGGGAGCCCGTGGTGGGAAAAAAAAATTAATTTGTGAGCCAGAAAGAAAAAAATAATAATCCTGTGTGTAAAAGCCCATCATCATTAACATCTCCCTGTGTTCTCAGCCCGGCAGCTGCCAGCTCACAGCAGGAGCTCGCATTCCTTCCATCAGTGAGGCTGTCATTAACTGCAGTGAGGGGGACCCTGGGCATTGCTGATACCCTTCGTTGTGCCCTCAGCAAGGCAGAATTCACTGGAGCTTCCCTGGCTGCAGGGATTCGGCCCTTCTGATCTGAACTTCTTTGCTCTGCAGTTTCCCACATAAAATTCTCTCTCTGGGATTTCAATCATAATGTGTGATAGTTACTCTTATTTTTTTTAATTGCTCTGAAATTAAAAGGGCTTCTGAGCGCTTGGAAAAAGAAAAACGCTCGGTTATTATCTTCACTTAATAACAAACAGATACAGAAATTTACATTCGTTAGCTGCCACAGAGTTGTATTGCATGAGAAGTCAGATGACACGAGCGTGGGGTCTGAGTTTATCCTCACATAAAGTGAACTTCCCTGCTTTTAACTCCCGTTGCGAGCGAGGCTAATGGAAAACATTTCAAAGCAAATCTGGGTGGAGGAGTTCTCTCCTTGTAGGACGTCTGGCACTGTAAATGAAGGGAGTGAATTGACTTCCTGGCTGCTGCCTTCCCGGTGCGCGGCCGCATGCAAAGAGCAGAGACGCCTACGGGGCAGCGGCTGCTGATTACAGCTCGGCTCTCACAGCCCCGACCGGGGAGCCGAGGAGCAGCGCTCACCCCCTGGATCCCGCTGACCCCGAGCGCTGCGCTCTGCGGTCCCACAGCCCCGGGGCGCCGTCTGGCACTTGGTCTGGCGCTTCACCGATAGCATCTGTCTGTACGCAGCCCACGTCCCGCCGAGCTCTTTGTACCTCCAAAATGAAACCCTGCACGCCTCCGAAGCGCGGGGGATCGGGGATGGAAGGAGGGGTTGCCCGCAGGGCTCCCTCTGCAGCGCTCGGAAAGCAAAGGCAGCAAACGGCTCATCGGGAGAAGGCATCAAGGTGCGTGCACCCGTTGTGTGCCAACAAACTGCCCCCCAAATGCCTTCACTTCCTTTCACCTCTTACCAAGCACAGCACCAACAGAGAGCCTGGAAAAGCACCTGGGGTTTCCTTCTTTATTTACAAAGAGGCAAAAGAGAGTTTCATCTGCAGCCAAAACCCATCTGCAGGCTGAGGGACCCCCGGCCCTAAGAGCACTTGGAGCACGGCTGGGAACCATTTGGGCATTTTCATATCAAAGAGCAAACTCTCCCATCACATCCCATTCAAAACCCCCAGAGCCTGCACACATCTCCCACCAATGCTTCATTCTATCCCAGAGATGAGGAGGGTGGGAATGGGAGAAGAGAGAGCGTTGCGACAGCGCTGCAGCCACAGGTAGTTACCTTCCTGGATAATTAACCTTAATTGTGCAACTAGCTTCTGCTCCACCATCCCAGGCCTGAGGAAACTTTGCAATTGCTAAGCAACACGGCTTGGTGCTGTGTTTGAAGCCTTGCACAAAGGAACCATCATTTAATGGGTTCCCAAAATGAGGTCAGAGCGCCGACATCACCCAGTGCTGCGAGTGTGAGCAACAGCACAAAACCTCCAGGGAACAGAGCACCAAACCAGCAAGCAGAGGTCAGCCGAAGGCAAAAACAAAGGAAAAAGGCAAAAAGGAACAGCCTAACTGAGGTTTCTACAATTAAATAACAAATATTAACATTCTCCCAGTACCATTTGCATTGTTTTCCCACTCGTTTTCATCATTTCAGTGTTCTCCAGCACTCCTGCACGAAGCTGCCCTTGCCCCCTTGGGTCTGGGGGATCCCATTCACCTTCCTTCACTGTATAAAGTGTATCTGCAGCTGCTTCTCCACGGGTCACAACAGACACAATGGGAAAGCAAAGTAATGCCATCTGACAACACCCTGCCACACTGGGGCTGATTTTGCAGAGCAGAGAATGCGTAATAACCAAAAGAAAAGAAAATAACTATACAAAGCAAAGGGACACCTTGCTAACTGCAGAGCACTCCAGCACTGCTGGGCTTGCAGCGCAGCCCCACACCTGCAGCCCTGATCCTTCAGCTGCAATGCAGGTTTGGGCAGCTCAGCTCCAGCACTGCGTGCAGCTCTGAGTGCACACAGCACCAAGCCCTGCTTGCAGCACACATGGCATCCTACAATGTGCTGTTGGGTTAAAGGCATCAAACAATCACTCCAATGGGAAGAACTTGCATTTTCCATGTGCTATGTGTCACACCTCCCACAGGAGGATATTTGCTTATGGAAATGACCTGCTCACACTGCTAAGAAAGGTTCTTCTCATTTTCATTCTGAGTCAGCGCAGGGCGGTTGGACGAGTCTCCCGGGGTTCATCTACACTCTCAGCTTTTGTTGCTTTGTGCACAGACGGGTCTTTTTGGTACCTAACAAACCCCAGAACAACCTGAGGATACCAAAGCCCCGGTCACTGATGTCCCACCAGTGAGCAGCACACCTCACTGGGACGTAACAATGGCCACAGATACAAAAGGAGGCAGTTAGATGCCACTGGGTGTGCTGGTATCCCATCAGTCGAGCAGCGCATGGAGCCGATCTCCAAGAAA